CATTTTCCATGTCTAATTTTATCTCAAACTCCGGCCACTCCTCTGCCCACATGCCTCCCCCCAGGCCCCTCCATGTCCCTTCATGCTCCAGGGATGCAAAGCCATTTTAATTCCTCCATAAGTCCCCCATGTGGGAGCCCAACCTGTCCACGTGGGGCCTCGATAGGACACAGAGTGACACAGGTGACAGAGGCTCTCACGCTGAGCTGAATCATCACCTGACGCCCAGCAGCAGGAAGACTAAAGGGAGGAACAAATGGGAAGTCTGGTGACCTGGCTCCTGCCCCACTCTGCTCCCACACACTGTGTGACTGTGGGGACTCACATTTTTCAGTGGCAGATGAGAAAGTTAAAGTTGATGATCTCTGAAGATCTTGCATCTTTAAAACTCTTATCTTCGGGCATTTTAAACACTGCAAACATTTGCCAAGACTCCCAACAATGAAAAAGTCAGTTTCCTGAGTACGGCCTATATGCTAAGCACATGTATTACTGTCCCCAAGTCACAGAACTCTAAGGAAGCATTTATGTGTCCCTCTTTGCAAACAAATTCAGGAGCACAGAGCTGAATTGTCCAGGTAGTAAAATGTGCTGGTGGGATTCAAACTCAGGCCTGTCTGACTTCAATGCCAGGGGCCTATCACTGAATAGTAACACTCTTCCAAACTGCATTATGCTGAAATAAAGTTAAATGCCAGAATGATCCAGGAAGTGGAGCTCTCCATTCCCAGGACCAATGAGGGTCATTCCAACGGTACTGTTTGCTGATGAGAGCTACAGAGAACTGGTGCTTCCTCCAGAAAACTCTAGCTGGAGTCAATAATTGACTCACAGGAATGGAGGATGTCTTAAAGTCACGTAGAGAACCCACTCAGCCATCAGGTGCCTGAGAACCTGGGAAGGAGACTCACTGTTGAGCACTCACATCCTCCCTCCAGAGTTTGGCACCTGTCTGACATGAGGGATGAACCCCAGTGGAGGGGACTAGGCTGTCTTAAGAAGCTGCTCCACTCAAAACCACTTGGAGGTAGGGACCGTGATTTATATCCACCACTATCTCCAGCGCCTTGCACGAAACAGGCACTCAATGACTGGCTGAATGAACACGTCAGCCATGTCCACAGCTTCATCTTGGGGTTAGTTTTTAGGCAAGCATGCAATCTTTTTAAAAATGGAGGCAAAATCCACTTACCGTAAAGTTAACCATTTTAAAGTGAATAACTCAGTGGCGTCTAGTACATTTGCATCTTGTACGATCACCAACTCAACCTCCACAGTACTCTCACGATGCAGTGACTGTCCCTTTTACCCTCCCTGGTCCTGGCAACCACCAACCTGCTCTCTATTGCTATGCATTTACCTATTTTGAATTAAAACCATTTTCCGTTATTTTATTTATTTATTTTGTTGTAGACCCAGTGTTTCGTCCTTGCTGGGCAAGCACACCACCACGGCACTGCATCCCCAGACATCAGTCATCATGAACAATAATCAGAGAGGGAGATGGAGGAGCTCCCACACCCACAGCAGTGTGGGGCACTTCCCGTGTATTCTCTTCCACCCCTTCCATCTCAGCCATTCTGTTGTACAGAAAATCAGCCACAAACAATGTGGTTTCTCCAACAATGTGACCAAGGGGGGGGACACTCCCTTCACCTGGAGGAGAGCCTGCCGAGAAGGCCCTCTTCTCCCCCACAAAGAGCTAGGCCTGTCTTTGGTCCTCTTGCTGCCATCAAGGGCAAAACTTTAACTGTCCTTCCACAGCTGCTGGGCCCAAGAGAAAGGGCCAGTGGAGCTGGAAATGAGAACCATGATTCAACAGGCCAAGGCGGGGCGGTCAGAGGAAGAGGGAAGAGAAGCAGCAGGTCAGTGTGGACAGGGGAAGAGGGAAGAGAAGCAGCAGGTCAGTGTGGACAGGGGAAGAGGGAAGAGAAGCAGCAGGTCAGTGTGGACACGTCCGCCCAGAAGCTCAGAGAGCATTGTCTCTCTGGACAGATGCCTGGTCCCATCCCTCCCCCTTGCTTATTCTCTCCTGGGCAGCAAATGAGGCCAAAGAACAGTAAAGAGCCAAGGTCAGGCTCAGGAGCAGCAGAGGCAGGAAAGCAGGGTGTGAACCGTGTGGGAAGGCAGAGGGCAAGCTGGAGGTGACGGAGGAGGCGGGAGACAGTGCCCCCGACAGGAGGAAGCCCGGGGAGGGAGGGAAGGTTAAGTGACCTCAGAGTGGGGGGCATCGCCGCACAGGGAAGCAGACAATGTGGCTACCCAAGATGAGAACATGAGATCTCCTGGCCCAGTTCCCTTCCCGGGGCCATTTATCATCACCCGGTACGTGCTGAGAGCTAGCCCAACATCTCTCCCAACAGGGCCGCGGCTTGCTCTAACCAATCTCTTCTTCACCCAAAAGTTAACCCACAGTTCAGATCGGCTTCCCCACTCGGGGCAGAGAGAAAGCAGCCAGTTTCTGCCTCTGGGAGAGAAAGAGCCATGACCTACTTGGGCTGGGGCAGAGCTGGGTCAAGGCGTCCCGTGTGTTGGAATATGAGCTCACCCTCATTACCCCGGGCGGGGGCTGGACAGTTACCTGGACTCATCATGAGGCCTATGAGGTCATTCACACAGGCACCGAGGAGGCCTGCCCCAGATCCACGCATCCCCACTCCTAAATGGGGCAGCCTACGGGGCCTCTGAGTCCTAGACTGGGGCTTCTCCGGCCCCCCATCCCAGGCTGTCTCGCGCCCTCCCCAACACCCCGCTTCCTTCAGCTCCATCCCCTGCCCTACTTCCCACATCCAGCTAGCCCAGTGGTCAAGGCGCACGCACACTGTCTTCTCAAAGCTCTTATTATGCTGTGAATCAGAGGGAGGGAGGCAGATCTGGAAGATACCGAGCCTCTGGAAACTCATAAGACTGGTGTGACTTCTTTGAGCAAGGTCTGCCGCGCTGTCACCGACCGTCCTGAGCTGGGGAGCGGCAGATTCCTCCCAGGTGAGGTCAGCTGCAGAGAACAAGGGCATCGGTGCCCACGGGAAGGGGCTCGGCTAGTTCTCAAGTGAGGTGGAGGCCACTTTCCCTGCCCCCAAAATGACCCAGCAGAGGTTCTATGGGAGAGATGGTGTGAGACCCCAGCAGACTCAGGGATAGAGGGGCACGAGGAAAAGGGAGCTTTCGGAGGACAGAGGACCCCGTGAGTCTTCCATCTGTCTTTCCAGACTGAGCCCCAGGAACATGGACAATCAGCACTGCAGATATGACTGCTTGGGGCTAGGAGAGAGGTGCTCAAAGTCAGCCCCACTCGTGAGGATTCTCTTCCCATTATCCTGACATTTCTTTATTTATTAGATGATAAAAAAGAAAGTTTAAGTAAATGAAGTTTCACCTAATAAGCTGTTAACTAACCATGAAGGACAAGTACGATTTGGTTTTGTTTCTACTCACAAACACAAACACAAAGCTGTTTTAAAACTAAAATGTTAGGTAGCCGCTACCTCCAGGCAGTGAGAGACACTATTGAGCCATTCCCTTAACTGATTTTGATAGAGCACTTGGCTGAAGTGGTGATTTTGATAGGTTCTAGGGACATACTCAAAACATACCACGTCTACCTCTGCCCTTCGATGCCTGATTTTCTAATTGGAAAGATACCTAATGGGCTGGGGCTGGGGCTCAGCGGTAGAGCGCTTGCCTAGCACGGGTGAGGCCCTGGGTTCGATCCTCAGCACCACATAAAAATAAATAAATAAAATAAAGGTGTTGTGTCCAACTTAAAAAAATAAATACTAAAAAAAGAAAAGATACATCATAACCCAGTGAACAAAAGTAAACAAAATAACTCTAGATTTTTATCAGTGGAATGAAGTGAACCAGGGAAGTCAGAGAAAATTCTCAGGCAGAGTCCAGCACTTACTGATGCTCAAAGGCACGTGATAATCAAAGCCCCGGGGAGAGACACATGGGCATAGGGAGGGCAGGTGCCTAGCCCCAGGGTGAGGACTGCTGTCCTGTCCCAGGGACTGAGCCACCCAGCAAAGGGGGCAGTGAACCTATCAGGGAGAGGTCGACCTGAGGTGAGAACCAGAAAAAGGCAGAATTCAGGTTCCTGGGGGCTTTTGATCAAGGCAGTGAATTCGAATTTTATCCTAAATGTCACGGGTCCCCATCAGCATTACAGAGGGACGTGCTCAAGCCCCTCGCCGCAAGGTTTCTGAAGCTGTTTTTAGAGAAAGGTTTAGAGAAGGCAAGACGCGATTAGGCTGTGCCCTCCACACTGTCCTAGAGAAAGTGTTTGCGTTGTCACCACCTGTACCTTGCTTCTACTTAATCCCATGTCCTTGCCTAGAGCGCTCCAGGCTCTGGAGTGTTTATGAGCACAGCAGCCTTGGGTACCAAGGCTGGCAGTTCTGGGGTTCAGCAGGAAGAGGTGTGGGAGACTTCTACTTGCCTCTGCCTGGCCTCAAGCCAGACCCTCCCTTAAGACAGCGTTGATTTCCCCACAGGAGGTGATTATAGAAACATTATGAGACAGGATGGTCTTATAGCCCAGGGAAATGCCCCACAATCCTATCCCTTTATCAGAAGTGACTCTTCCACCCCAGACCCCAATCTGGATATCCCAGACACAAAACATTCCATCCCCTACCCTTGGAAATGCATCCCTCACTCCAATAATGAGGATAAACTCATTTTACAGGTAGAGAAATTGATATGCAGAGAACAGGTTTGGTGAAAGTCAAAGATCCATGGGACACCTTCCTCCTCCTTCTCACCTCCCCGTCCCCAGGTCAGAGGATCATCGCAGGAGTAGCTGAACCCTGAGAACTCTCTGGCCAGAGAGGCACTCAGAAAAAGGGGCCCCGAGGGGTTTGCTGCTTAATGATGAGTCAGAGTAGGGGCTGGAGGAGGTCGACTGACTCGAGTGGTGAAACCAGTCCGTCACCTCCACGCTGGGAAGGCGGCAGGAGGGCATGGTATAAAGGGTGCGCTGGTCCCTGTGCAGCTCGCCACTCCACTAGAAGCCTCTGCCTCAGTCCCTACTGGGAGCCTGGTGAGTGTCAGCTTATGGGACCAGGGTGGGGACACGGCTGGGAGAGGCCAGTCCAGGTGGGTGGGGCTGGACTCAGCTGGACTACATTTTATTCCAGGGGTCCCAAGTCACTGTGAGGAGGGAAATGGGCCAGGATTTAGAGACCCAGAGTGGATATCCATCCTCACATGTCTCACCTTTTCTTGGGAAAACATCTGGGGCTTTATTTGTGTAAAAGATGAGTTAGGCAGAGGGAGTACAAGTCAGTTTCTCTTCTACAGCTCTTTGGTTTAGGCGGACCATGATTTCGCCTTCCTGATAGGGGGAGGGTGTTCTGGGGGATGCTTATGATTCTTAGCGTGCTGCACAAAGCGGGAACTTCAGAAAGGGGAGGAATTTAAATTTGGAGAAACCCAGACAGAAACGGGGAGACAACCTGACTGAGAAGAACAAGGCTTGATTAATAAGTCCCAAGTCTCGGTGACCTTCCAGTTGCCCTCGTTTCCGACTCTAAGCACTGGGGCTATAGATAAAGTTTAGACGGCCAGGAAAAAAAAATGAGATCTGGAGTTGAACAGGCCAACCGCTGATTTGACAGAGAGGAAGTCTCCTCTTCAGAGGTGCTCAATGACTTACAGCATTTCAGAGGGAGAGGTTTGCCCAGAATACATGGGGTGACCCCAGTCTAAAGCTGATGCCGTGACTTCTCGGTTCCACTCCGGCACAAGCTGTTGATGTTCCAGGACTCGGTGGTCATCTCTAGAAGATATTTCTTCCTCTAGCATCTTTCCTCTTGATGTGATATAGTCCCAGAATTCATCTCTCACCCCTTAATCAGCTGAGGCTAGAGATAAGGGCACAGAGGAGACTAGACAAAACGAATAAGTTAAATGGCAGCCAGCCCACACTTGCATAACAGCTCTGGAGACATATTTCTCTGTTGGCTCTTGCCTGGGAATCAGGAGCCCCAAGGATAGCCTTTCCCTGCCCTTCCCTATCCCCGCACTGAACTCTGCTGCTTCTGGGAAGGACAGTTTAAAGGAGATGGGAGAGGGCCCTGCCCAAGAGGAGGGGGGCTGAGAAGCCAAGCTCTGCTGGACATCTCTACTTCCGTGGCCTTCAGCCTATCCCTCTGACCCTCTGTTTTTCAGGTTGACCTACAGCAGCTTCCAAGATGTCCCAGCAATACACACGGCCAGTGACGGTCCCTGCTACCCTCACTGAGGAAGTCCCCCAGACTGCTTCTCCTTCAGCCCATACGGAGCAGGAGCAAACGAAGCAGCCCGCATCCCTGCCTACTCCGTGCCAGAAGGTGCTCTCTGAGTCCCCGCGGGAGGGCCCTTCCAAGCATAAGGAGGAACACACAGCTCTCGCGAAGGGGCTGCCTGAGCAAGAGTGTGCGCAGCCACAGCAGCAAAGAGAGCCCCAGGGGCAGGAACTGCATCTGGGCCTGCAGCAGCAGGAGCACCAAGCACCTCAGCAGCAGGAAGTGCACCTGGGACAGCAGCAGCAGGAACAGCCCCAGGTGAAGGAGCTGCATCAGGGAAAACCACACCAGCAGGAGCCACAGGAGCTGCACCTGGGACAGCAGAAGTATCAGGGACCACAGGAGCAGGAGCCGCATCTGGGACAGCAGCAGAAGGAGGAGCCACAGGAGCAGGAACCGCATCTGGGACAGCAGCAGCAACAGCAGCAGGAGCCACACAAACAGGAGCTGCATCTGGGAAAGCAGCAGCAGCAGCAGGGACCACAA